GTAAAACCCTACCCATATAATATAACATTATAGAGTAAGACGTGATGCAGCGTTAATTATCCTCCCACCGGCATCTAGTAAAGTAATAATATTATAAATAATTATTATTAAACTATGTACCTACAATTTATACTTCTAACCGGACGGCGATTCTCATCGCGTAAATCAGTAATGCATCAATTAAATGTTTTATGACAATACCGTATACACGACGGTAAACAAACAATCCATAGCTATGGAGTTGCATTATGCATCCATGCACAGGCGCGGTGTTCTTTTTGAGAAAACCAGTTTTGAATACTAGTCGCGGTAGCTTATTACCCTGCGTTCGATTTATGTTATTAGCCAGTAGCCACAATATTATATTTTGGTGTACCCCACTTTTGACTTTACACGTCTGTCAGTGAAGGCTGAATAAAAATAGATTTTGTAATGATCATTTAAAAAATGACTTGAAGTACGCGTGTAGTCTTTGAACGGAACACTATAACGACGGTTTTGTAATACAAACATAAAAAAGCTATTTATATTTTTACTTTAAAAATAGATTTGCCGATAATTAATTAAAACTATTAGAACATTTAACGGATAGATACCCGAAATCAACAGCTGTTGCCGTCTAGCCAATGAGCAGATATGTATTGTCACAAAAATTAATTCATAATTTTTCGGTAACTCTTTCGGCATAGTTTATAGTCCATTACGCATACAACCGGAGTAACTCAGTCTAACTAAAAAATAGAAAACGGTTTTGGGGCAGAAAATGATACAACATACATGACACTCTTCTATATTTTATTATTGTAGCCTGTAACCGAAGGTAGTAGTTTTTAATCGTAAAATCGTCCTTGGAAATATTTTTTAACTTCGTCCGGAAGAATAATAATAATATCATTTATAAGTTGTAATCCAGTTACATTGTAAATCTTGTATTTCCCGGTTACAACCGCTATAGCCCGGAGGAGGAAAATTAATCTAGACGATTGATAGTAATTAAGTCGAAATATGATTTCAAAATAATATCTAAAGAAGTCATTAAGTAACTCGGCTTTAACGTTAGTGGGATAAAATCTATTTAAAAATGTAATCTACTTTAATACTATTACACGATTTATTTTTGTTTATATAATCTAGCTTACTTATGACTGTTTGGAAAAAATAAAAAAATAACACTCGGGTTTTAATGACTATCTAAGCGTTACCAACCTAATATATAAGTTTTTAATGAATAATAATAATATTGTACACGGGCAATTAACGAAGTCGCAATTATCAAGTTTTCATGAGTTTAAATAATGACTGCGATGTCTGACACGATGTTCTTTACATAAAACAAGACATTTTATGAGATAATAAAATAGTACATGCGTTTTATTTATTCACTGCCGCTTGTGCGTTTACCGCCAACGTCGCAGGTCACAACTGAATCGCTAATATTCATAATACCGTTCTGCGTTAAATAACAATACAATTGATCGCATGGACGTGCTGCAAAATATTAATTTTACTACTCGCACTCAATGTATATTTACCTATACTCATTCCATCTATTCCATCACAATAGTTGCAAAAATTTAAGAATAATTTCTAAATATCTGTTTAATAATAATTTATAATTTTTCAGTTGTCTGGACAATCAAATGTAAAGGATATTACCTATACAATTGCATAATTAAGTACATATTATTGAATAAAAAATTAATCTTGATGAAAGAAAGAAATTAGAACTGGATTAATTTTAGAAAAGTCCATTCTAAAATTAAAATTAGGAAAGTGTGAACACTAGCTACTTAGCCTGTATACTACTACTATTTTATTATGTTTGTGCGATAAAATATTTTTCGGATTTCATAAAAAATTGTTGAGATGGTGCAATTTTCGTTGCTTTTATATTAGATGAGTTATGTCAATTAAGAAAGACGAATCATTTAGTAAATAAAGGAATAAGACATATTATCTATAGTTGACACGCTTTTCAGAATTGTATCAAGTACTACTTACAATTAGTGTTATTAATCAAAAATTATGATTAGGACTGTGTGATGCAAAGTTTAATATTATATAATTGTATATTTTGCTATCCTGTTTATTATGTTCTTTGATAAAACACCACCAATCGTAACTATTTCATAACGTAATCATACTTATTGAAATGTAGGTAATCTTTTCAGTATATTATACCTGTTGTATAGTGACCGTATGTAATACATTGCATTCCCAGAGCCCAGAGGTATTACTTAACGATGTGTGTTTCTGTCAATTAATAATAATAATAATTATCCTTCTCTCGGCCGTATCGTTGCATCCGCGGTAGAATTACACGGTACATTGTTGTACGCACAATGAGACGGTCAGTATCATATGCAAAGGTAACGTTTACTATTATAATATTATATATATACATATTGTTTTATGTGTAACTAGCGATCACAGGCCAACGCCTTTGAAACGTTCGATTAATCTTAAGGCGGCGTACCGACTGGATAATTGCCGTGCACAAATAAATTGATCGAGAAAAGCGCACACGACTCGTTTGGCACACCTTAGCCGGATGCCATACAGGATGGCTGTCGTGAAGATTCAATATCACTTTGAGCATTACATTACTAAAAAATACCTATTGAGAAAACATTGTGTGACACAATGTACTTACACTTACACTGACGGAATTGACCTAAAACAAAATAATTATATATTTCCTAAAAGGGATACGCGGGTTAATTAAAATCGATTAAGTACTCTTAACTTAATTTTTATAGAAAAAAAAATGACAGTTGCAACAGATGAAGATTAAATAGTCTTAACTGGGTTCAGATATATCCCCCACGCAGCAATTCTAAATTCTAAATATTTTCCAAATGTTGTGGCGAGGCCTCTCTTCTCCTTCTTTATCTTCGCCTTACACTCACAACTACATGGGATCGGCCACCCTAGTCCTATACCTCCATAGAGCTAAATTAGCTAAGTAGCCTATGTTGGAACATCGCTGTTTTTATGTATTTAAAATGTTTCAACCTATCAATGTTTTTACAAGTATTTTTTTTTTAGAAATAAATAATATATTTACTTAACATTTATATGAGAGAAAGATGTCTTCAGGAGTCGTGGTTTCAAGCGCCTATTTAGCGTTTTTTTTCATGATGAAAGTGTTGTATAAACTAATTAATATTTTTTTTAGTGTTATAAATATTACAATGAATATACATAAATATTTTTAAAAATCAAACAAATATTAAACTTATAATATTTTTTACAAAACATTTAGAAAATAATTATATATTTCTTAATTGGTATGTAGATATTTGTATGTCATAAAATGATGTAATAATATTATGACAGTATTAAAATATTGTAATTTATTCAATAAAGTTGTATCGACTAGTCTTGTATATATTATCTTTAGGTACATTCACACATTTTAATATTGCAATTTTCAGTAACAATATTTTTATAGATAATAAACATTATTTGAGAAAATAATAATTGACATCAAAAAAATATATTATTTATTCCAGTTTGAGTAAGTGTCTGTTGTGGATGCTTTATTGGTCGATAAATACACGACGGTTCTAGAACAAATAATGTCTACAAGTTTTGTCAATGATTTATTAACATAATAATCTATCTATATAAAATCGTTTTACACTGTTTACACAATCATGGCGATGCAATGTATAATAATAATATAATCAAATAATTTGTATGTATTTACAGTATACTTCAAATGAAAACTGGTTCTTCGTCCTGGCATAACTATGACAGAGTTAGAGAGGATTCATTATCATATTATAACATACAATACGAATGAAGATTAACCAGGAAAGTCAAATGGTAACAACAGCCTGCAACACACTCCATTCGCTGGTCATTGTTGTTTATACATCAGTTTTGTCTTGAATATATAGAAAATAGTCCAGAAAAAGGGGATGGTTGGTGAATAGTGTTACAGCAATAGAATACACAATTAAATGTAATTAGTAATTACATTATATAAAATTACATAATTATTAATAAAAAATGGTTTTTTTTTCACTAACAACTTTTTTTGTATAAAGTCAATACATTAAACTGCTAATACTAGTACTAGTATGGGTTGCCTAGGATACAGTTAACTATTTTTGGTTTCTTAATCAAAATAACAGTATAATTTAGTATGTTTTCACTATTTTTCTGTACTTAAAATTACATTTTATTACAATTCCAATTTGTCGCTTTTTTTAAATAAAATATTGTATTTATAATTAATCTAATTTGTTAACACCAGTCGATCGAATCCTTATCTGATATTTTTTATTATTATGATTGCTGCAACCGAATGAAGATCTGAGTTGTTCTAAAATTATTCAAAAAAGAAAATAACAAACTAAACTCTTACATTAAACATGTTCATAATTAAGCGTTCAATGATTATTTTGTTATTCTATATTCTGAAAATAAATATTAAATTCTATATTTGTCCATACCGATTAATATACAAGTATTTATGCATTATATAATTAGCTATATTTGAACTGCTATTGTTAGAATACATTTTAAATATTGACGAATAAAAGCCACGATCCGGATTAGGTAATTTTTTTTTTTTACAGTGATTTTGATGTTAATCCATAAAAGGTTTTACTTTTATAAACATATGACATTGAAGATATTTTATAATATTTTTATTCCTTCATCAAATTTGTATATAGCCAGGTCAGTTCACAATAATAATCTTTATAGGTATACTATAGTCTGGCCTTGACAAGATTTTTATATATAATGTACCTACATTTGTATATGTAAAAATGTATAGTTGGGTCGGGGTGACTTAAGCGTGGTATTTCAGCTACCTATGGGGTTGTGCGCCGTACAGCCCGACAAAGTCGGACACACCTGACGAATGTGGGCGGGTGCTGATGTTCGGTATCTGATGGCACACCGAGTTAACACACACAATAGTATAGTAAAGTAGTAGTAGTAACGTGCGCTCTACCAGCGGTTTAAGCCGCTGTCGTTTCAATCGCCGACCAAGAGCGACCGTGTAAATATGTGCCATACTAGCGTTTAGTGTTTCTCGTTAAAACGTCGACCAATCGGTTTTGACGAGAATATTATAATAACTAACATAAAATCCAACGTGTCAATCGATTTGATTATATTGTTTAGAATATTTTTTAACGTTATGATTTGATACTGAGCGTTACGTTAGTATTTTCTTTTTTGTATAGCACAACAATTTATAATAATTATAATACAAACCAAAATAATTTCTCTCGCTTCACTTAGCTAATTTAAGTTAAAAGCTTGGATCGCGAATCTCTACGGATACGACACAATACCAATATTATGTCCGATGGAGAACGGATCTCATTCGTCCACGTTCAAACTAAACATTGTGACTCGTGAGTACTAGGTTAAAAGATTATACCAATAATATTATATTATTATTACGACGTATTACTAATCTGCCATAACACCGTGATACGCCCTGTATAGTTGTTTACGTTAGCTTGATAAAAATATGTTTAAATGTTAATCCATCCGTGACCCATGAGTTTTTGCTTCCTCAAAGAGGAAGCTACGGTTCCCTGGACATTTTTTTTTAATTTCGGGATGGAAGAAGGACCATATGTATCTTTATCGTAAATATAAATAACTTGGCATTCTATCCGTGTCTATGTTTTTAGTTTTCTCGTGATTTATTAAATCAAGGTATCTAAAATTTATATGGTTTATGTAAGCAGATTTAGAAGTTATTTATGGCGGTTAAATCACGCGCCAAACCCGCAACAGTGTAAATTACAAATTTGAAATTAATTTCACAATACAATATACCAAGATAATACATTTCTAACTTCTACGTTTTTTTTCTTATAAAACTTTACTTACTCATACAGTATAGGCTGAGTAAAGTCACATGAAAGTCAACATAAAAATAAAATAATTAACTCAAAACTTAAACTTAAATTTAAATATTTATTTTTTATTTCAGTTATGACAAATTCTTCATTAGTCATTTTTTTCTCCAATAATAACCGAGATATAAGAGATCGGGCAGGTATAGGTATTAGGTAAACAGAAACCGGTAATTACAAAAATAGGTCGGTATTAAATATTTAGATTAAAGTTTGAATGTCAAGGTTGAAATTTGAGATATATTTTTGCGATGATTCTTTTAAAAACTGTCGAGTTTTGTTTTACAAAAAGAGTTGAAAAAATAATAATATGTTAATGCCAAACTCACATTAGTTTTTATCGCTTGATCAATTTTAACAACTATGAACTAATACAACATTGATGTTACCTACTAACTCGAACCAACAATGACGATTCTAGCCATCTTGTCTTCTAGGAAAATCTTAAAAAGAAGTCGTTGAAGACTATACGCTTTTTTTAGTGTATATATTATTAATAAATTATATAGTCTGTCAAAGACATTATAATAGTGTTATAACCATAAAATACATAATCAAAATACTGGTATTTGTAAATGTTTTTATGTACAGCGCCACTTTTTAATTTTATACCGTCGGAGTAGTTTTTTCACGAATTATGTGTAACGATTTTAATTGAGTTTACTGTATAACTTGTATGATATTTAGTAATAAAAACGCATAATTGCTAAATTCTGTAATATATACACTGCTTTGAGGAAATCGAAGGTCGATGATAGTATAAATTCTAATTTAAATCGATAAACACCACACGAACGTTTGTAGGTATATGTATAATCGCGTCACCTACTAGGTACATGTTTAGTCGGTACGAAACCCCCTAATAGCCTCTATATAATGCGTTTATGTACTGTTCGTGATATCCTGGTGGACACGCACATTTCCCAACCACCCTCTTACCGCCGCTATCTCGTACATATAAAAAACAATATTGAACTTATTATATTGTTTATATAAGCGGGTCGGCCGAGTAAAAAATAGAAAACAATCGGCTCCCGTTTTGTCCCTATAGAAGAAGAATGCTGCCCGGGAATTCAGATAATCTGGTTTCGGCACGCGCTTTCTTTCCTGTGACCTCTTCTTTCTTATAAGCTCTATAACAATATCATCGCTAGCTGTTGGTACTAGGTATGTACTATAAATATATATATTATATGTACCTAAAAGCTGTATACATTGTTACTGAGTACAATATAAGGTTTTAACTTTAAGTCGATAAAAGTAAATAGAGAAAGTAAAACATGAAATGTTATGTTTTTTATAGCCAATTATTGTATTGCCTCCCTTTCAATAATTGTTGTAGCGTTAGGTAAATAAATAATCATAGAGTAATAGACAACGGTCACCTCTAATGTAATTTTTAATCTATATGCGTTTAAGTAATTGCGTGTAAAAAACCTCATTTCCTACCTGACCTTTTATTTTAACAAAAACAGGCTTGGGTCAAATATGTGTACGATGGTTACTTTTGGTAGTAACCTGGCGACTCTTTAACCAGGATTGAGAAAATGCATGTTTGTTATTTGAATAAACAAAAAAAACATATTTTTTTTTTTATGTTTGAAAAAATATATTTTAACATTTTAACCATGCCACTAATCAAAGTTTAAGCTGATCCGGCTTATCTAAGGCTTTGCATAAGTACCCTAGTAGTGTACCTTTAAAACTTATACCTTTATGATAAATTGGCATATAAGTACGGTTGGCAGTTTTTAATATCAACGTTTTTTATAGCCTTTGCGCAAAGATCGTAGGTGAATTGTGTAGACTTTTAATGCTATTTGGGTAGGTTAAAATGTATTAGAACTGGGTTTAATTCCGTTGGCTTGAATTGTAGTTTAAAGCTTTCGGGGTTATTTTATTATTTCGTTCTTAATCAACACACGAAATAGTGTTGCTTTGGCAAAATTGTATTGTCTGGTCTTCCTAATAATATTAGTAATACTATAAGCAAGAGGGCCAGGAGTAACATTTTATTGGAATAATAATTTATCTATCCATCATGTTTGTCAAATAGTCAGAATATATTATTTAAGGATGTAAAGTAGTATGTATTTCATAACGTTAAAGCAATCGGTTAAATCGTTAGCTGAATACTTATGCGCAATTATTTACATTTCCTAATACAAATTGAATGATTGATGTTCACATTAATATTGTTCATAATAAAATATTTCGGAATAACTCGTTAACTCCTAAACCGTTACACGGTCCGGTCGTCGTTATTGTATTTTGCGACATTTGTCTTTTAAATTACCGACATCCGTGTATGAGCTGTAAATTTATTCTGAAAACGATTTATTTGTTTTAGACCCGAAGAGATCGAGGGGTGGTCAAGGACCTCTGACGTTATTTTCTTTTGTCGCTGCCAATGCAAGAGACGGTACCCAGGTAACAGAAAAACGTTTGCGAGACGTTTCGGAAACACTGAAAAACAATTTCGCCAAAGGCACTGCGTTGAAATGCAAAGAAAAAAACGGTAACTGCACTCTACGATAGTCAAAGTGTTAAGTGTCGGATAGCCCATTTTTATTGACGACTTTTTATTTTACAGTAGTCTATCCAATGGTTCATTTCACCGAAGACCGAGATTCTTTAATGTCAGTGCTGCAAGATCAAAAAGACCTTGGTGAATACTTCCAACTTCACCAAGGTGAGACAAAGCAAATAACTTAATCTTTATTGTAGAATATCATTTAATTTTTTTTATTATTAGTTGCCATAAAATTAAAAAATACTCATTAGTTTCAGAACAATGTTGATTTATACTTAAAAATTGATTAGAACAAACAATTTTGTAACACTTAATTAACTACATTTTTTTTTTATAGAATTATTATTTAAAGTTATCTCTATTATGACCACTGTAGCTTTCGACAATAGAGCAAAATATAATTTTGGGAAACATTTTCTATGTAGGTAAATCATATTTGTTTTGGTTGGAACCACATTGAAAAGTATGTTTAACGATACAAATTTCATAAATAATACGGCTGTTCAAATAAAAATTTTTAAAAATTTAATCAACAGAGATACTAAAACGATCCTTTAGTTTTATTATTTTCAATGTACACTAAGATCAAGCGATTTTTGAGAGAATTACTCAGTTTATCACATGTTTTATACAGGTGAAGTTCCCGTATTCCCCTTGCCTAAATATATGTTAATTACTTAAATAGCCATAGATAATTATTTATTAAAACCTAATTTTATAACAATATTAAAACGTATTAGGATGTTTTGAGTATATTAGAAGTTAAATAATATGGAATTTCTATTTCAATTTATTTGACAAATAAATTATCAAAACTTTTTCAAATAAACTTGTCTGTAAAAAAAAATGACTTATGTTGTTAAAAAGTGTAATCAAAACAAGTTTGATTTTAAATGTCCATATAATAAAATGGTTTTAAGGTTTTTTTTTCTTACATATAGTACAATAGTATTTTTTTAACATAATACAAATGACTATAAAGGGGAATTAAGTAAAAAATACTATGCTGTATAGCTTTGTTTATTTCCAAAACGGTACGGTTGAAAATTAACTCTCATGAGCATTCAAACGACCTATTTAATGGTTTGTGGTCATTTCAGCACTTCTGACTTGACTGTCGGTACTCGAAGTTCAAGTCTAACACTTATACCGTGACTGATATTTATAAGTTATAACTAATTAATACTTAATATGTTTTTATTACGACGCGGGTTTTCTCACGACTCGGTATAGCCCTGTTAGACTATTATTACACAAGCACCATAATAAGCCTAATAGTATGCCAATGATAACAATATGATATGAAACAAATTATGAGAAATGTTTTATGGTGTTGTTTTAGGTGTTTATCGAGAAATCAAAAGCATCGAATGTGAAGACGGCGATGGACCGTTTTTAACGACCTCGACGAGCGTCTCGTACATAGTGTCTGGATTCAAAACACTCGACAGCAGTCTAGTAGAGGTATGTGATATCAATATAGGTACCAAGTATCATCACTTGTGCTTTTACAATGAAGTAAAAAACATTTCTAACACTTGCAACAATAATTATACAAATATTAATGGAGTTAACACATACCATCCTGTGTTATAATTCGTCCAATTAACGTTAATGGTAAACCGTTCAAAGACTACCATTATATAAATTATTAATAATTATTATTGCTGGTGTTATTCTTAAGTAAAATGTAGGTACATGACATAATTTTCTTCCTAAGTAATGCTCAGCTAAATCTACGACCCTCAGAAATCTTGACATTTTGAATACAGGTAACCTAACATTTGTATCCAGAATAGGTTTTGTATACTCATATGTATACAACCAAATATTATTTTAATCATAAGTATTGTGTTAACTGTGATGAGGTAATGTAATGAATAGAATTACGTTAGATAATTGTAGTGGTTATTTCTATAGAAAAAATTAACATTTTTTTTTTATAACTTAACATAGAATCGGTCAATATGACTCTATTATTATATAAGTAATAAGTAGGCACAGCAATATACTATAGCTGACATAGTTTTTGAAATGAAACCACCGACGTTTATTATAGCGTCTTATATTGTTATTGTAAACTAAATTCACTGGAAAAAAAAAATCAATTCAATTAGGTATGAATGACTAAATTATTGTTATAACTCATATATAGCAAGATGTGCAAATTTTGGCAACAATAAACTATACAGTTATGAGTTATTGTTTTTTTAATTCTCATTTAAATAGGCACGCTATACGAACATACGATATTGACAATGCGTGCATTGTCATAGTATGATATTTAACCTTAACCTCTGTTTAAATGATGACATTTACTATATTGTGGCCGCCGTTCAATTTGTAGGTAATGATCGAGTCGTGGAGGGACTGGACGGGAGCAAGACATATGTACTTGCACATGCCATATGACCTGGGCTTACAGAGGATCTCGTTGTTAAAGAAAGTAGCACCGGATTCTATAAACGCTTTTACATACGTGGTGCTCGCCGAATGTTTGAATGTTAACACGGAGGAAAAGAAGGTATGTGAAATGTCAGATTAGTTCAATATAATAAAATTAATTATTATATTCTTGTGTGTTTGTTGCAGATGATACTGCTAGATTTTGTCCAAAGGATGAGAGTAGAAAAATTCCTACCTGGTTACCTGTCAGTTTATGAGCTACATAAAATTTAATAACACTTTAGTGTACAATTGTGCAACGCTTTTAAAACCTCACATCTAATATTAGTTTTAAAAGTATACCTATAATATTAGAATTTTATTATTACACTTTAAAATGTTTTGTTGTTGTATATATTTTTTTGTTAAACGTTATTGTTAATACTTATGTTTTTTTTTAAACAATTTAAAAATAAAAATCATTTTTAATAAAAAAAATTGATCACTGTAACTCTTTAATAAACTATACCCAGGGGCTGTTAGGCGGTATTACCCCGTTTCTAATTTGTTGACATGAAAACGATTAGACAGAATAGGCACCATGTGAGTTACTATAGTAACGGACAGCGACAGGACGCTACTAATGATAAAACGAACCTTTAGGGTATTCAAATGTTTTGAGTTCCGGCGTAAAGTGTTACTGTTTAAATAATACAAGGGATACGTTTTAAAAAAAATGGTTAGAACTTAAAATTTTTAAAAAAAATTTCTATTTTAAATATTATTAAAATATTTTCTTTTAATAGGCGCCAAAAAAGAAGACCAAAGGAAGTAAAGGTATTCGTGCCGGCACTGGAATCGTGGATGGTGTGTCCATTGCCGAAATGTCCAGGGAACAGCTGGAGGGATTCGCGTCCAGGATGAAAAAAGAGTTAGAACGTGAGAGGGAAGAGAGGAATTTCTTCCAGTTGGAACGGGACAAAGTGTTGACCTTTTGGGAGATAACCAGACAAGAGATGGAGGAAAACAGAGCTTCTCTGAGGTAAGGTTCTTATAAGCCAGACCGTGCAATGACACAATAGCGAGGGACGCTATTATAAGCCCTTAAATTTTGCTTTCAGAAACAAGGATAGGGAAATCGAAGATATCGAGGAAAAGCACCAGGACGAGATCAAAATTTATAAACAAAAGCTTAAACTGTTAATGTACGAGCAGCACGTCAACCTCTCTCAAGTGCAGGTGAGATTAGCGACCAAACTAACCGTAAAAACTATGTCCTCGTTAATGAAGCAGCCATAATTAACAAACCATAACCCCCAAACATTTTTTAGGCTGAAAATATGGTGTCGTTAAAAATAGCCAATGACGAGCACATAAAAGAAGAGGAAGACCTGGTCAAAGAGAACGACACTCTGAAACAAGAAATCGTGGAAATGAACTTACGCAACATCGAGCAAATCAATAACATCCGGCTGGTAATGTTGTTGAACTCGAAATCGCGTGATAACTTTTTTCATATAAAAAAAAAAACAATTTTAGGAACACGCTACGACTATGCGAGAATTAAAAGATAGGTTCGTAGAAGATTGTCAAGTCATAGAAGGCAAGTACCAGAAACGCATGGAAGACCTGAGGAACCGAATGAATTTAAAGAACAAAGTGGAAGTTGCCGAAACGGAAGCCAGAAAAAACAAAAGAATTGCCGAAATCATCGAAGACCACAATAACGCGTTCAACAATCTCAAAGAACACTACAATGACATTACCGTCAATAACCTAACACTGATAGGATCATTGAAGGTGTGTTGAAGATTAAATTGATAAGCATTTTTTAACAAATACCTATAGTTGTTTAGTTGTGTTTTGGCGTAGGAAAAGTTTGTTGAGCTAAAAGAAGACCAACAAAGGGCAGAAATGGACCTGAAAGAAGTGACTAAAGAAAACGAGTCGTTAAAAGGACCCCTTAAGGAAGCGTTGGGAACCGTGGAAGAATTAACGCAAAAAATGACAAATTATGCCAAAGACAAGCAGCGGTTGGCGGTAAGTGTTGAGAACGTAATCCATCATATTATAATGTTTCACAACAGACAACATTGTTTTATTGTTATATTAAATGTTTGCACAATAGGTTCTAACTAAGCGTCTAAACCATTCTATTGACAAGTACAAAGACTTGCAAGCGGACTACGATGAGTTGCATATGAATTTCGAAAAAGTAAACCATACAATTTATTATATTTTGAAAATCATACAATGCCGATTACACAATACGAGTAAACATTACGTAATATGGATGTAGATGCAAGCAGAATTGAAGACTATCAGAGAAGAGCATACGGATCGCATAATGAGTTTGCAAATGGAGAACAGTAAGAAGTTGATATCTGCCGAAAGTCGTCTAAGACGTGTAAAAGAAACATTGGAGGAAAGGGACGCTCAGATTGCACGTCTAACGGCAGCCGTTTCGTCTGACACTTCCATCGCCATGGCAATGAACTTGAAAACTGAGGTGATTAAATACTGATTTACTCTTGTTTTTATATAACTTTTTAAGTTAAAATTGAATGATCATAAAAACTAAGCACGAATTGCTTACGAAGCTATTTTCTTTTGCTCAACGACATAATGTGAGATTATTTTTCAAAACACATTTAATTTCACTTAATTTTTGTTAATATTTTTAAAAAAACAAATGGCGCATGCAAAAAATGGACTGTTAACAAATTGATTTACATGGTTTAAGTTTTAATAATAAGTATATCATTCTTATATTTTCGATAATAATGTATTTAACTGGGTTCGAATTCATTTTAGGCATTGCTGGAGAAAAAGAACAACCAGATTGATCAAGCGTGGAACGACTTAATGATTGTCACCAAAAAGTACAATCATATCTGCAAACGTTTCAAAAGTAAACTCAAAAGTCATGGTTTACCACACGATGAAGAAATGTATGAATTGGTTCCGGCGGAAAAATACGAATATTTCGAAAGCGTTTAAATTAAGAATCGACGATGAAAAACTTAACTTTTTACTAAATACTAAATACAAATTACTAATTATGAACAATTTAAATTATTATAAAAAGTCAATATATACATAATATATTGAAGTATATAATTTTTTAATAACAATGTAATAATTGTAAAATCCAAAAAAAAAAATATACTCAGATTTTTATATATAAGTATCTATTTTATTCTATATATTTAATATTTTTAATTTTGTTATAAAAAAAATATTTTTATTTGATAAAAATGTATTTGTATAAAGCATTCTAAAGAAATTTTAAACAGAAACATATTGTAACAGTTGTGCATTTTTTTCTTTAGTAGTTTATATTTGTGAGCCTCATTTAAGTTTAAAGCATCTAGAGTTTCTTACAAGTAGTTATATTTGCCTAACTGTATGTTTTTAAGGCACCTATAAATATTTCTATATTCGTGTACAACTTTTTCAAAATATTAAATTTTTACTATAATATTTAACTGCATAAAAACAATTTAGTTTTTACTTTTTTTTATAGTTAAAATTTTAAAAATGTATTTAATTTTATTAATTTAATAAGCATACATTTAATTGGCTGTTAAAAAAACAAAACAGACGAATTGAGTTGGAGTTTGTCATGAGTATTTTAATGTTAGAATAAATTTAGTTGAAAACTAAAAAATATAAGTAGTCAAGTAGGGTCCAATTGAATTAGAAACTTTAGTTTTAGAGTTATTTTGGCTAGTTTAACTTAATATCTGGTTTTTTTTACTTACAGTATTGGCAAGAGTATGTAATTAAATTTAGTGAAAAACTAAATAGAAAGAGTTTTGAAATGTGAATATAATTATTATTTAAATATACAGTATTTATTACGTTTTACATTATTAACGAATACTAACAGAATATGTAATTGAAATACACAACAGGCGATATAAAGTGTAAATCGGAAAAAGTGAAAATTGATTGTAAAATTGTTTACAAATTATTTAACTATTAAGAATGCTAACAGAAAATTAAAAAATGGTTATTTATTTTGGATATTTCATTACGAATTTATATTTCACAGTTACATAAAAACTTCTTTAGAAACTTTTTTTAGGGTTTATTTAGGTATTCATTTAAATACGTGGCTAGTTCTTATGATGGTCAAAAATAATATATATTTAAATAAAATATATTTTTAAATTAACCTTACACTCCGCAGTATTCCAAATTTAAAATTGTTTAAAACAACGTTTGTATGTACTGGAAAAAATGTGTGACTAACATTTTGTGTTTAACATAAATTAATAATAATATTGACTCAAAACTTATGTTAGTACATTTTATTTTATTTGGCTGAATGTTAAGTAGGGTCTTATTTAAAGTGTTGATTGTCATTGTTACAGCCAGTTCTTTGTAGATGAAACCAAATTTCTGAAGTTCAAATTTAATGAAATTTGGAAAATTGCGCAGTTTAGGAGTAACTTGCTTACTGTCTACAAGGCTTTAAGTCTTACATTTCTTTGAAAGTTTTGGCTGAATTGCTTTAGTAGCAGATGTTACAGTTAGTAGCAGTAGTAGATGTTTGTTTTAATTAATGACCCCCGTAAACTGTTGTTTTGTTCTACTTGGGAGGAGTTATCGATAATAATTAATTGTAGGTTCTCACTAATATTTTATTACTTGATCAATAAAATTAAATTCAATCGTTCATTCAGACATCAGCTAGTATAATAATCTTTGCACTTTGAGCGAATGCCATCTAATATAATTCACGGTGGTCGATTCAAAAGTTAACTTAACAAGAAACATAGTTTTAAAATGAAAACTCTGTGCACGTCATATTAATATTACGTTGTTATTCAAAGGCGTCCAATTCATCTCTTAGTCATCCATACGGTTCCAACGACACCGGCAATGCAATAATTTATTATAATTACCAACCATACACACACATATGTGTGCATATTACTTATTATGCTATTATATAGCCCGTCGTTCTCGTTAGTTCTTCTAAGCTTATTCATTCGCCCTTCTATTTCCTCCCTCGAGCCGCCGCCGTGCATTAATAATATTATTATAGAACCTGAGAGCAGGTTCGTGTGTGTATAGTTTGTGGCCGATAATTATACAGTGTTGTCAAAACGAATAATTACTTTGGGAACTACAAAAAAAAAAAAAACAAAGAGCGGATAATCGACGAGGTGCATATACTTGAGAAACGGTATCTAAAAAAATACCTCCGGTTATAATGGCGGTTAGTAAGACCAAGAACATTCCAAGTGCATATATATGACCGCTTGTGACAATCATTATATAATTTTGGGGCGCAACCGCCACCCGTCTTGTCATTACCCAAAAATACTTTAACTCCCACTAGGTATGTTTTCCGTAACAGGTAGTAAACAGTATTATATTTATAATAAAATGCATTATTATTAAGAAGCTACCTATTTATTAAGAACTGACACAGTATGAAAATTCTTCGATAAAAATTTACTGGCTGATAGAAATTTACTTACGTTTAACATTTGTATCCGATTCTTAAATCCCAGTTTTTGAAATTTGTTTGTACTAAGTCAGTCCCGTAACTGAGCATTTTTAGCGGAAAAGCATATTTGTACAAAACCAAACACTGCAACTTCATATTTTAAATTTTAATATTTTTGGCGAGTTTTGATAAAACATATTGTAAGCATGTGTACCTATTCTAAATAGGTTTCTGATAAATTTATCAAAAATCTCCCATTTCAAATTTAAGTTTTAAGTAAATTTAATTTTACACTTAAGTTGGAAAATGCTTATTTTCTAAAACAGTGCATTTTCTAAGATATTGTTTGACATACAAAATTAGAGTGGTGGGGCGTCCTCAAAAGTATTATCCATTTTTTAATTTAAATAAAGGCTTTTGGCGAAATAAAATATATAATACATACTCGTATTTTGAAATAAACAAGTCGGGGTAACTAGTAGTTTAGTTAAAATTAAATAACTGAACATTTAAAGTCTTACGTTTAACTTATTTAGCTAAATAAATGACGATAATAACATTTAAAATTATTATTAATAAATAGTATAAAAAGTTTTTAAAAACATTACATAAATGTAACATTGCATCGACGTTATGTAATATATTTGTTTATTTATTAATTATTGTTACTTTATTTTTTAGCTGACCCATTGGAAATTTCATAATTATTTTTCTTACTCACTACATATAACAATCGGTATAAATATTAAAAAAATATTTTTTATCGTTTATTATTTAGAAAAATATGTAATAGGAAATGGTTTTCCTAGTATGGTTCTAGTGTAAATAAAATACGATGTGTTTAAATAACTTAGTGGTAACTTGGGTATATTCGAGTTATTAAGTACACACATACTAGGCTCATATGCTTTTGGATCTTTCTAGATCACCAGAAGTCACCTTTCTAGAATTATGAGGCATCGTAATTTAGTTTCTCAATGGTAGGTGCCTATGCTGGCGCTGTAATTTGCAGTAAAACGTCAAAACTTTTACCTAGTTGTGGGCTAGAACAATGATGTCGATTATATGTATAATGTATATGTATTGTTGCTGTATACTTTGATTTGTGTAAAAAGTGTGTGATAATAATCCATACCGGAAGTTTGTGCGTTTACCGTTGGTGTAAAATGAATAATTATCATGCGTAATATCTTATGGTGCGGACGTTAGACCCGCGACTTTGTGGATCGATTAAGACCCCCCGGGTACTACTGACCGGCGCCTCCTTATGAACGGTAACCCGCAGAGGTCATCCGGAAAAATCCTCAAAGACCATATAAGCACACGAACGTGGCACGACCACGACAGCTTCAACATAGTAGTATACATATTATAGTATTTCCTTTGTAGGACTTAGACTAGTGGAAAAAAAAATAGTAACATCTGCGGTTCTTCCGCCCGGATTCTCCCGATGGGGGTACTCACACGCAGAGGATGAATGGAACGAATGGCCGCAACGGTAATAAAGCATCGCGGTGAGAGAGAGAACTGGTGGTCACCTTTGACTTCGGTGGTTCTCGCCAGCGGTATATCTGTATATTATAATATTATATAGGTACTCCTTCTCGCCCATCTCCATAGCGTTCTTTCGGAAGATCTTAATCAGCTGTGTTGCTCACATGGCGATACGGCGACCACCGCGACCGTCGATAAAAAAAAAAAAGGAGGAGGGGGTACCGAGGGGTACGGAGGAGAGTAAACCCTATTACTATATATGTATATGTATAATATTACTCAACGGCCAAAACAATATACCGCGCTTGTCGTTTATCGGCCCAGGACAATCGCGCGGCCGTGGTTGCCCTAGTGTGTGTGTAATTGAAATTTCCTCCGGAAACGCCCGTCACAGCGTACACGATCATATTGTTGTTGCTGTTGTGTATTGGCTGTCGTGGAGATACATAGTCGATACGATCGGATAATAGATATGTGGCAGATGGCCAACTGAAAGTATTGCAGCGGCGCATAATGGATATTACGGACACGGATCGGACTAGTCTGTCGATATTATATTATAGATATAGGTAGATCTCAATAATATATAGGATATACGTATAAGAAGTGTTCGATCAATGTTTCTAATGTCCACCGGGAGAAACAAAATATATTAGATATTAGGCGTTAAAATGTGATTTTGTTCAATACGTCATAACGGTATCACTATTAAGCCACATAATATAATAGATTGACGGCCGCCATGCATGATATAGATGCACTTAATTCACTACCAATCCCAAAACTACATTAGAAAGAATATATGATTTCAAACAGCCTTAGAATAAATATGGTCCAGTATAGGTTTGACGGTAGACATGCTATGCTGCCCAACTGAGGCGCTATAGTAGGTAGACAAGAGGAAATGTGTCTTTTGCACATATTCTCATTTTTTATTGACCCACACTTCCGTGCATTTGCAGAAGCATTGGGCCAGGGTGGCAGGACGTCACACTAACAACCATCGAAATTGCACCCATCTCTGTTCTTTTTACTCAGTTTGAAAAGAAAATATTTCGTTGTTAAATATTGACTTACACGCGTAACATGATTATTAAATAATATAAGTAAGACATTTGTATTGCGCACTAATTGCAACGGTTTAATAAAAAACATGAGTAGGTTGATTTAAATAGTATTTACTTCGAGTTCGGTGTCACGAAATACACGATGCAATTCTAAATGAATGAATCGTGATAAATGTATAGTATTAATTATTATTAACGGTCAGCGATAAATAAATCAATAGAATATTAATTGCTACATAAATGCATGTTGCAAAACATATTGCGAAGTTAAAAGTGAACGTACCTAAAAAATATCCAATCAATTCTCATATTATTAATTAAACAAGTCGATAATTATGTTATTAAGCTTTTATTTGAAGCCTGTGGATATTTTACTTGAATAAGAATATCTTGGAAATGTATACTTCCATGTTCATCATAATATAAGAAAAAAAAGCATGCTATTATCTTGTTAAATCCCTTAACAAAATTCGATTTTCTATAACTGAACAATGTACAGACGTGAGTTTTTTTTGTTAGAAATTTAAAAATGTTATAACTTTTTAGGGATTATATGAGGTATATTTTTAGAATTTATTTTCATTCAGCTTGTAAAGCTATTATAAGACTATTCGCTTCATAATAAACTTCCTTTCCCTTTCCTCTGTCCGACTGTATTAATTATAGTTTATATTTTGAACCTTCGTACATTTTAATATGGACGCTTTTGCGTGTCTCGATCAGAATTCTTAGAGCTACAATTACGGAAAAATGAAGTGATATTTTGAAAAGAATATTATTTGAATAAGGTCTCTTTAAATTAAACGTGACTTTGGCTTTCTCGTTACTTAAATACCGGAATGTCATTAAAAATCCAAATTTTTGCAAGTCTAAGCTCGAGCTAATATTGACTACGTTGTCAATATATATTATATGATTACTAACAACAAGTCAATACAGGATAGTAATATTTAACGTCGTAGTTATCAGCCTTGTTCATGTAACAGGATCTTAGGTTCGATTATCCGTGTGCCTTAAGAATTAAGAATATCATTACATCATTAATTTTTTTTGTGTATTTCCAGTTAATGAATCGCCATTTTTGAGGCCGAGCCACTCTCCGGGTTGTAGTTTTCTACAGGCCATTTCATGCGACCCGCAATCGGTTCTCACCGTTTCACCATCGCGCCACCAATCGATTGCCGTCTATTAAATAATTAATTACCTTTCGGATTTCCATGAGCGGCCGGTCAGTCATTAGCTACCGCGGTAATTGCGTTTTTAAATATTAAAACATATTTATGCATAATAAAAACCAATGCTACCTACGTGTTGAGGTACAGTATTCTCGATATATTATGTAGAAGTTCGGAACCCCATCGTATACGTCATCAGGAGTCAATGGAGGAGGAGACTGATGCCACTGAAACACACAAAATTTAATAGCTTAATCGATGGTCGACCTCCCTGGGAATGCAATTAAACCGTAACACGTAACACGCCGAGGTCGAGCGATCTCTCCAAGCAAGGGTATATAATTCAATGTGTGGTAAAATAATATAATAACACTATGTTGAGTGAACCACTGGATAGGGCAAATTAATTCCCAATCAACACGAGGAGCCGCTTACGTGATCCGAACGGGTTTGGCGTTTCAGTACAACGTTTTTTTTTTAACGATTTATAACGCCCAAGAAGTTAATACCAAAAGAGATGTACACACGTCACACACAGACTATGCGCGTAGTGCAATAATGCAATAAGTAGCCTCCGCGGAAGTCTGACGAAAGTACCGGACCTAACCGGACGGTTACATTTTAATTATCGAGTATAAGACGATTTGAAATTAATTTTCTTTATTGCTATACTGTTCAACTCCAAGCGTATGTTTCATGTAATAGGTAATTAATTTGGAAAACGAAAATACTGTAAAAACTTTCCTTTTATATATTATATTAAACGCACGTTAAATAAATAGAACAGTTATAAACTCTTAAAATAACATAATAAAAAAGATAAGTTTTACATTATAAAATTTTACTGAAGCGGCTGAAGTTTTCCTCAACAAACCACGAGAACTACACCATTTATAATTTATTATAATAAGATGCCAACAGGACACAGCCTACTGATCAGTACATAATGGTATATAATTATATAAATTATGGTACAAATTACAATAATTTTAATAAAAACCAAATAACTATTAATAAACACATAATTCAATTACATCATTGGTTGTGTTTTGACCTTGCTAATACTGTGATTTCATCTTCATCTACCTAATACTTTTTGTTTTTTGGGCTATCCATATTATTTTTGATTTTGTTTAAAAAAACATTCCAGCTCAATAGTTACAATTTAATATATAAATTATAATAACAATAATGATACGAAATTAAACATAATAGTATATAGTACATACTTACTTGATTAACAATAAAACAGTTAGTTTAATCCGAAGTTAAGAAAATTAAAAAATAATTTTAAGATAATAATGAAAAAGACTGATACAGAAAGACTGTGGACAAAAACCAAATTAAAACGTCAAGAATGGCTTTTTAATCGGAAATTAATTTTAATAACAATTAAATCAGTGAAAAAAAAATCATAGATTTCTTTTGTAAAAATGTAGGTTTACCACTATTATATATAAAAAATCTGTTCTTATAAATGTTCATATCCCTATACATTTTGCCTCAATTTATTTATTTATTTTTTTTATTATTAAAGATTAGGCTTCAACATTAGTCATTAGCCGTACATTTAACCATATTTTGCTGTATCGAAAGTAGACATATTAAAAATATTTTAGGGGTTTTCCCAATTTTAAAGCTGGAGAAGTGAACTTTTTTAACTTTTATAAAACCAACCAAAATCACGAAGAAGATGAACTTAACGATTTCAAATGGCCACTTGATTATACGTTTTGTGCATAAGTAGATACTCATCAAGTCCACAAAATATAGGTAAAACATATTCGAAAATGTTATCAAAGCCATTGTTTTCGATTTAAATATAATTATACAGCGTAGAGCTGAACACGGAAATCAAACAATTGTAATCACACAGTGGAAATAAATAATCACTATTTTTATAATAAAATTAGTTACGAAACGAATCGGAGAAATAATAGATCCAATGTATAATGTATAATATATATATATAAATAATGATAATTGTATATCTAATGTATTAATTGTTATTAACTTTTATTGTTATTATATTGTTAATTTTTTCTATTTGCCGTTCACAGTCCGTTTGCTTTTCCCTTTAATCCATTAGTAGGTTTTTTTCGCCTCCGGCAGAGATATCCTAGAAACCGTAACCGTAACCGAAACTAATAATATTATTATTATAATTATGCAATTTGGCGGCACGATTTTTGATGAGTATAGGTATACAGAGTTATGATGCTAATGGTTCAATCACAAGATCGGCCGTCAAAACACTTTTAATATTGAACTAGAAATGTAATGTTATAGGTATACTATGGGCGGGTAAACATAATATTATAAACGGCCGCGGCGAGTAAATTATTTTATTTTATTTTGTTCATACGTCAAAACTCACAACAGCTATACTCACAGCAGCCTATGTACTGGATAACACTATATCGAGCAGTGTTGGCTCATGAACTGAGTGTTCTAAATTTAATTTCAAATAACTGGTAGTAAGTATAGAATTTTTCTGGTAAAATATTCCGGATTGGTATAACAATATTTGATTTTCTAAATTTTGTTTTCAATTTTTTAATTCAAAATATGAAGGTTTTCAATGCAAGCTTATGCAATAACCGTGCTTAAATTATTCTTTATCATTAACAGCCTTATTTGATTGTTTACTTAACGTATTATGAAATTGAGGAATGAGATATTGCCTACATAATGCGCCTTACAAGCATTTAAAAGTCTGCCAAAGAATTAATAAATATTCTTAAAACATATTGATAAAAATAAAATTAATTATTTACATCTAAAACTATTAAACTACAAACTTAATATAGATTCTTTTCAAAGTGAAACCCTGATTCATTTTACATTAAATACTTACTTAGAACGTAACTATAATAGTTAAACCTTGTCTTTTTTCCAAAAAATACCATAAGCACTATTAAAGCAAATCGATTTATTTTCATCTAACTTATGTAACGATGATAAATAAAAATTGTGATTAATGGAATAATTGCGCTTTTAAAATGCAACTTCTGTCAACATTTAAAATTGTCGGCTTTTTTTTTTATTAACGTTTATTAGAATATTTACAATCTATACTATATTATGTACAATAAGTAAATTTGCTGGAAGAAACAATAACAATGACAAGGTGGTGAGGAGGAGGCTCATATTAGAGCATCCTGTACATAAGAGTTGAAATAAAATTAACTTACATTGAGTAGGTCTCTGGACCAATTACGTTTGAGGCGTCTGTTTGGATTGCCCGGAAGTGTTTTTGAGTGCAGCTGGGTGACAAGTCGGTTTGAATGGCATTGCATTTTGGAGTGTCGTCTTAGGTAGAATATAGATGCGGTCTTTTTGACTGTTGTGATTTTGAGGTCTTCATGTAGGGAGTTATTTGTGACGTACCACGAAGCTTTGGTGACCAAGCGGAGGCATGTGGACTGGAACGCTTGAATTGTCCTGATGTTACAGTTTTGCGGCACCAAAATTGTCAGCTAGGGAAATATTATAAGGTCATGAATTTGACTTTACAAAAACTATGTAGTCCACCTAATATAGATTATAGATTGTTTAATAATTGAAATTAATGCTCCATTGACCACTCATTTTTACTCTACATATAATTTAAAATTAATCCTGAAATCATAGGTTGCCTTCATGATGTAGGTAAATATCTAAACAGCTATAGTCCTCTTCACCTTGGTCTTAAAAAGAAGTTTTATACTTAGTAATAAATAATAATGTTTTATTAGCTCATTAAAGTCATTGGACCTGAGTACTTGTAAGTGTACCTACAAATTAAAATGTGTTTTTATGTTCATTGTTAAAATGTTGTAATAGACTAAGGAACACTGCATAGCTTGCTGTAAATCTAAGAAAAATAATTGTTAAATCTACTACTTACGTAGCGTACCTACGGGTTATGTTATAATTAATTGTATACATATCATTGAAAACTATTTGCATGTATTTTTAAACGTATGTTTATATAGGTACGAGTCCTGGTGGTTAATATCCTCGAGACATTGCACAGGTGCGCGATTTAATGAGTCAGTCTGCCAAGGTGTCCTTGTGTCGAACACCGAACAGCGGCCAAAAATAATTTAATACAAAACTAAAAGAAAAAAAACAACATTTATGTAAAGTACCTAATAAGTAACAACTGCAGTACACAACAAGCCTGCGCCATGCCAGTATATTGCGCCTAGGTTTCTTGAATGAGCTCGAAAGATGCTTTTGGTGGGGACAATCGATGAATGAACCTCCAGTGCCTGAGCGACGGCCAAGAGGATAAACTGGTTCCGGGCGCGTCGCCGTCGTGACAGCACAGGAAATGGTTGTACGCGCGCTGGCGAATGTTAAAAAATCTGAATAAAACAACCGAGAAGGTGGAGTTGTACAACCGGAGACTAATATATTACGGTCAAGGGGTTTTCGCCACACGCATACGTTTATGTCTATAAAATATACATAATAATATACTATAGGTAGTAAACCTACTAGTAAAGCGGCTACGTACCTGTGCAATGACAGCATAAAATACAAAATCTGACGACATGATGTGGCATCTAGATAGGTTTTCGATATTTGAGATCTTCATATTCGGCATGACTATCTCCAACGCATGCCAAACATAACGTAAAAACGCTAGGTGGTTTGCTAAGAGAGTCTTATTTTGTGAGTAAGGAGACAGTGAAGTCAGACATTCATAGGAGACGGAGTCTTTTTGATATCCATTCTACAATAAATTTAAATTTAAAATATTAAGTATCAATTGTACTATCATATTAACCAACAAAAATTGCTCTCTCATACTCATAGTGCGTTAGGTTTTTGAATAGTATATGCTAAAAACAAAACATATTTTATTATAGTTTAAAAAACCGGCTTAAGAACTTCTAGATCTTAAGACTAGCCCAAACAAAATAATATGGTGACCGGGGTTTTGTTTAATTGTCAATTTTGAAAGCCGTACAATATGGGTAAAACAAGAGGAGTGGCTGCGAGGTAAATGGAACGTGTATAAGTGCTATCAGATTCTATCTAGGTGACGATAATAACCGCTACGAGTTTCCTTATACGACACACGGGCGCCCGTTTTCTTTTCTTACCGCATGCAAATTTATTAGTGGCGACTTTAGTCTATGTTGTAGGCTACCATAATCGAATTTAAAAGCAATGAAACAGTCTGTTTTTTATCATGAACTTAGATTTAGATTAGATTTAAGAATATCGAATAAATATACCAGAAAATATGTCTTTAAAGCAATGCCTTATGATACGATTGCAATGATACATTATGAGTACGATCAACTCATTACCAGATATTTTGCATGCTGAAGGATCAAAGGTGTCCAACAAAAGCATTGAAGAACAATACCAGGATAGCCTATAAAAAGAACAAAAGAAGAAATCAAAAGTACTTAATAAAACCATTATAATATAACTGAATGAAATATCTGCAATGCCATTGTTCTCTAGCAGTAAAACAATACTGAATCATAACTAACCTTGTGCACACATTATGCAAAAACATTATTGACTCCATGACACTATAAGGAATAACTTCGAAAAGTCATTATATAATTTTAATATAGATACTTACACATTTTTTATGTCATTGGATTTGAGAACACTATAAATATAACAATTATTGCAAAGCCATTGCCAGTAGTAAACGATTTGGTAGGATAGTTCAAGACTCAAGTTTTGCAACGGTACCTATTAGCATCATTTGCATTGATATGAATTATAATACAACTAAACGTTTTCTAATTATGTAATAGTCCTAGCATATTTAATTTGTTTTAAAACAAAGTATTATCAATTAAACATTGAGTTTTCTGTCTACCATGATGATCTTTATCGAATGACTCTTCCCAAAAACAAATCTTGGATTCACGAAGGGTCTTTGTCTCTGATAGAAAATTTCAGTACTGATAGTAAATCATATTTAGTGGTTATAAAAATAGTATACTAATAATATTTTTCAACTCGATCATTATAAGTGGGTATTTAAATTTTATATTATATAATAAGTCTGCCTTACCCTCAAAAATGGTGACTTCAATATTTATCACAAGTATGACAATTTAATTTAACTAATTTCTGCAATACCACTTGATATAATAGTTTAAAAAAAAACACGTAAAAATAATGACGTTTGCAGCAGTTTGACATCCAACATTTGACGTTAGCTGTATTCTTCTAGTCTAGTATCTATATCGTCTGGTCTGTTGAATTATTTGCTGCTTAATTACCTCACAAGTATCAACTCATATATAACACGGTGACATGTTCTGTTTCTATTTCTAGTCGATATACGTTCCAATTTGATGAAATGTACGATATTTGCGTGAAATACTTTTTATACGATTTTTCACTCGCAACAGTTCTCGTATCGACTGCTAAATATACTAATAATAATATAAATGTACACGCTCCTCTTCCGGTTTTTTTACATAAACAAAAATAAAGAAAGGAAAAACCGGCACACGACCGATGTTGCCTCGTGCCGGCTAATTGACGGGCAAGTGCGATATTAATTTTACCTGTTTTGCATAATACCACAATATTAATATAATATCCATTTGGAATATATATATATATATTAATTATTTCAATAATAATAATGAATATGTTTAAGTTTAGTTGGTATTAGTCGTGCAGAGATGTGGCGAGCGCCCTGTAATCTCGTTCGATCATCGGTAGATCATGTCTCATGACCGTACTCGAGTGCCTGCCGGCGAGGAGATATAATATGCACACTGCACAAGGCATATTATAGGTAAAAATATACATGTATAATTTTTTTCCAAAACCGTAACCTGATCTGGCCGTGTGTGTGTGTTAAATTAATTACTATTATATTCGTACCCGTATAATAATGATGTTGTGTTGTTATTTTTATTCTCGACCCTCTTCGATTGGACGCGTCGATAACAATGCACTATAATAGAATAATAATAATGTCCTTACGGATTGTTCGCGATCACCATTTTACTCCTCCGCCGTTTCAAGTGAAATCTTTAACCGAACTCAAAACTTATGTGCAAACCAAATTTATATCCTCAAAAAAAAAAAAAATAGATAGCTCTAAAAAAAAATTCTTTCACTATCGTGATCAATCTAATACATTATATTTTTCTATAGTGTGTAGTGCTAAATGTTGTCTGTTAATCACGTATTCGGCCTGAAAGGGTTCGCCTACTATTCTAGGCCAGCATGTTCCCAGAATGTGTACTTTAGAAAACCTAGAGTTGGGAAAAATCCATATTTTTATAACAACATAATCTAAAATCTTTAAAAATTATTGAAAGTGTAATACTATTTGTTAACCTAAAAGTTGTGTTTCAGCGCATTTGAGTAAGACAATTTCAAAGTTCTGCCTAATTGTTTTCTGCCAAGTTATGCCTATAGATGGTGAATTTGGGAGAAGTAGTTTATTGTTGCTGTAATAAAGTAATACTGTGGCGCTCAATACGGCCCTGGATGATCGTACTGACATTTTGACAAAAATAAAACTGCATATTACTATTACAATGCACAAGAAAGATACAATACATGATGATCTAGGTATTATACTTAACGGAGTGGTGTCTATCGAAAGTAATGCGTTTCCGTTGCAAATTATATACATGCAGACAATGACCAACAACGGTACAAGTCTACACGCAGACGCACACCCATGCTAACCGAAGTCATCGAAGTAAAAGACCTGTGCCAGATATTATTACCTATAATGTACGTCTTACGGTTGGTATCACTTTGGGTCTTGCTCGCGTGTTCCTGAAATCAAATAATAAGTAATATTATCTAATAATATTCCGCTTTTACGAGGACATTTTTGTAATAATGGAAGACTCGCACTTTAAATTCAATAAAAATGACTAATTTGATAATTATACTTTATTGCTTTTGACCCCATAGCAAAGATTTATCGCGGCAATCAAAAAGTACATCGAATCAATAATAATTTATCAAACATATGTTTGTTATTAATTTAATTAAATTTGTATCGAAGTAATAATTTCGTTTTTACAGTATTTTTGTCATATGAATAAAAGGTTTTATTAAGGTTGATTAATAGTATTTATTCAAATTTATGGTTATTTCATTTACATAACACATTTAATCAAATCATATTGTGTTGCCTCGTATCCTCACACCAGCGATTTTGGCACGTTTGGATTACTATGCTGTGTTATTTATCCGCATTAATCCAATGCCAAGCAATAGGTAACGACTGTGCGATGATGGTGGTGATGTCACGTGGAACAGACTAGATTTGTGTAAAAATCGAGCCATTGGCAGAGGCATAACTATATCCGGTCGAAAAAATAAATACATTTTCCGGTTCCGTCACGTCGATCACCGTTATATTATAGAGGAAACGGCCATCGACCGGTTTTAGGTTTACCCAATCGCTAGAACACATTTTCGCTTCAGACGTTTTCATTCGTGGCAATCTGCCTCGAATATTAATGACTAGGAACACCGTGTACTATATTTTGTCTATAACCAATTTTTCCTGAATAATACAACGCCTACGCCTTTACTCTATAGTCGTCTTTGGGGCTCTCTCGCTCTTTGTTCGTCTCAGTCAGATACATTTATGTACACAACTTTGATAAAATACTAGTATTATTTATTTATCCTCGCGTTACATCATATCCGGCCAACAGCTGTTCCCGCGTATAAATGTTACCTTACCTACTGTACGGTATCAATCCGGTTGTCGTAAACGGCGTACAATACATTAAAAATAGTAACGTTAGTATGTATGTATGTATTATGTACTCGCATAAAAACATTGGAAACAGTCGTCGTCGTCGTCGCGGACGAATTTGTGAAATAGGTTAAGCCGTAGGAGTAGTTTGCCCACGTGGGCTGACCGATCCGAGGACGTCGCCTCGGGTAACCACTACCGCCATAGATAATATTGTTTGTAACCACTATTACCTACCACCTGGTTGACCGCTGGCCGACACCGGAGACCGTTGCCCGCTAAAAGATCGAGTAAACGTAGCCAAGACGGGTTTTTCGGCGACTACTCTCGAAGTCGTTTTCAGCCCCACTGTCATGCTGAAGCGTATTTTCTGTAGTCTTTGTTTTTGTAACTCTCCGATCTGCCCGTTTTTCTCTCACTCAATCTCACTCTGTCTTGTCAAGAAAAATAATAATAATAATGTGCGCGCGGTTTACGACGATCAACGTTTTTATGAATGAACTGGCAGACCGACGATGTCGACCGTGGCGCCATTGATGTATTTATTATGCACGCGAGGCCGGCGGCGGCTTGTCAACCTGGTCCGGGCCATATGGTCGCGCCAAAACTGGTTAACGTCCGCTGCGTTCTTCTTCTCTCGCTTAGACATTAATTATTTTTAATCGCGTTACACGCACACACAGCTAGCACGGACGCCAGTGAGCCAAAGATTTCATAAATATTAAATACCGCACGGATTATAATAATACCTTGCCCTGTAACGAATGACGATAAAGGTGCATCTAAAAAGGATAATAATAACAATACCATGATATTATTATGGCGTATACGATTAAATCTTTTCTCCATACAAGCTTTCGGCCAGCTATGGTATAGTATCGTTATTCAT